GCTGCAGCAGGTTTCTAATCACAGTAACAACTCCACCCAGTGGTGAATGCTGCTGGACCCCAGCAATGGCTTTTTGGAGCTAAAATACACTAGACACATATTAACTCACTGTGCAAACAGACAACGTGCAAGGTAGGTATTATTTAGTCCTATTTCCAGGACTCAGAGTCTTAGTTTGGGCTGCAAGTTGCACCCTAACAACGCAGGACTGCCAGCCGTGCGTGAACCCTGACTCTGGCTGGCGCGCTGCACTCCAGCGTGTCCCTGTGAGCGGAGGCATCCACGGGTGCTCACGCCAGCCAACGTGTGCAAGTTCTCAGTCCTTACGACCTCCCACAGACCGCAAAAGTGGGGTTCAGGGAGGTAAAGGACCTTCCAGAGGCACGATTTGGGGTCAGTTTGTAATTCAGATCCAGGAATGTCTGCTGCCGAAGTCCGGGCTCTTCCGTGCCGTTGCCTTTGCTGTGTCTGCTCTGGCGTTCACCAGAGCCTGTCGCAGTGTCCTAGATTGACAGGGAACTGCAGCCGGCATGCAGGGAACGGCACCTGACATCTCTCTCGTACTTTCCAGGTTGCCCCTCTACCTGGCCTCGCTCTTCATCAGCCTCGTTTTCCTGTTGGTGAATTTAACCTGTGCCGTGCTGGTGAAGACGGGAAATTGGGAGAGGAAAGTCATCGTCTCCGTGCGAGTGGCCATTAACGACACGCTCTTCGTGCTGTGCGCCGTCTCTCTCTCCATCTGTCTCTACAAAATCTCCAAGATGTCCCTGGCCAACATCTACTTGGAGTCTAAGGTAGGGCAGAAATGCGGTCAAGATCTCTCCCGTGAAACTTGTTCTAACAGTACTTTTCTGGTTTCCAAACAGGACAGGGCACATCTCTTTCGCACCTGACCTCCTGCCAATGATTAGCCTTACTGTGGTGGCCACAACACGGTGGAATGTAGTGCATGAACTTTGTGTGCGAGATAGTTCCATTCCTGATGCCTTAAAGTACGTTGGTGTGTGCAGTATCACTGGCAGAGCATTGAGTCTCTTGATTTATAGATAAGATGATTTAACCTACGTTTTAGAGAATGAGTGCATTGATTGTACTAATAACATTAATAGCAAACACATATCTAATATGGACTATGTTCCAGACACTTTTTTTTTTTTTTTTTTTTGGAGACAGGGTCACTCAGACTAGAGCGCAATGGCTGTGATCATAGCTCACGGCAACCTTGAACTCCTGAGCTCAAGTGATCCTCCTGCCTCAGCCTCCCAAGTAGCTGGTACTATAGGCACGTGCCACCATGCCCAGCTAATGTTTTAATTTTTTGTAGAGACGGGGTCTTGCTGTGTTGCCCCAGGCTGGTGTTGAACTCCTGGCCTCAAGTGATTCTCCCGCCTGGGCCTCCCAAAATACGAAGATTTCAAGTGTGAGCCGCCGCACCGGGCCCCCGGCACTTTTATAAGCACTTGACTAGTTTATGCATATAAACCAATGTGATCCTCACAATTCTTTGGGGGTAGGTAGTATTTTAATCCCCACTTTATAGATAAGGAAACTGAAGCACAAAGAAGTCGAGTAGCTGGCCCCACGGCACACAGCTAGTAGGTGCGAAGCTGAGGTTCACACCTAGCGACTGCTGCGGAGGCTGATTGAGGCTCGTGCCTGGGCTGGCTGTGCCCACGAGCAGCTTCTCCCTAGCAGCGGGCACCGCCGCTGGAGTGCAGGACAACACTCCCCTCCTGTTGATCGTCCAGAGACAGAGCCGGACATGATGCGGGACGGGAGCTCCTGGCCCATTCTTTTCCTTCACTCTGTCCTGGCCACCTAGAGTCTCCATTTCTCCCTCCCTTTCCCCAGAGATATAAAGAAGGGCAACTATGCAAATACGACGTGGTGCCAAAGTGCTTCTGATTGGCCTGGTCCCCTGATTGTCCCTTCATTGACAGATTCTGAACCCGAGCCCAGGAGCCTCGTGAACAGGGGGGCTGGGGAGCGGCTCTCGGGCTGGGGGACCCTACCCCCGGACACTTCGCCTCTCTGGGCCTTGGTTCTCTCACCTGTGGAGTGGTCGAGCGATTTCTGTAGCTCCTCCGCTTCCAGAATTCAGCCTGTGACACAGCTCCGTGGCCACCTTCTTTGTCAGGAGGCCCATCTGGCCATAGTATATCTTTGGTCTGAAGACTGGGGGCAGCTCTGTCTCCCTCAATATTGTGTCTTTAGTAGTGTCAGGAATTAAAGTCTGGTCCTCTCACTTCAAAAATATAAAGCCTCAATCAAGGCATCCTGTGATTTAGCTGGACTCTTGGAAATCCCTAAATTTAGTGCAGCAGAATAGTTTTTTTTGGTTTTTGTTTTTTAATAAATTTGGTGAATTTTAGACTTGATTTTGCCCCAACTTTGTCTGTTTTGTTGTCTCCCATATAGGGGATATTCAAAGCCTTTAGCAACAGAATTGCAGTTTTTAACAGGAGGGATTAAATCATAGATTGTCAAAATACCATTGGGCTCACCCCCGTATGACACACACAAGCTAACAGAGCACTACTGGCAAAATAGAATAATATATTGGATTTAGTTAATGACTGACTTCCAAAAGCAAAACTCAAAATCCGTTTGAGATTTGTGGTCATGTTTATTGTTTCGAGCTAGGGGTCTTCTAACTGACTTTGGAAATCGGTAGCTTCATAAAGTAGGGCATGAACTGCTGCCTGCTGCTGATTCCAAGCCCAGTGTCACACCGGGACTCCTGCATTCTCAGCCTCGAAGACTCTGGGCTTTGAGGAAGTGCTCACTGCCCACAGCACTGTCCCTCTGAGATTGTTTACTTGTTCCCCTGACCTGAGAGGATCCTCTGGGAGCTGAGCAGTGGCAGTTAGAGGCTTAACAAAATAATCCATCTGGTTTTCTTGCACTTACAATCCAGACCTTGGGCAAATGGCCCGTATTTTAACCCTTTGTTAAAGGCATCTCTGAACCAAGTTCTGGGGTCTATACGAAGATGACTTGAAGTTTTAGGAAGGAGTGTGGATGGGGGGAGGTTTGGAGTGGGGTTCGAGGGCCAAGAGTGGAAGCTTTCACAGGAGACCCGACGAGACTGCAGAGCTCTGAGATCCCCAAGGGCTTACTGGGCCGACGCCAGGTGGGGTCTGGGGAAGGGGCTGCTGTCCTGTTCCCGGAATGGCCACCCCTCCTCCTCCTTTTCCAGGGCTCCTCCGTGTGTCAAGTGACCGCCATCGGTGTCACCGTGATACTGCTTTACACCTCTCGGGCCTGCTACAACCTGTTCATCTTATCATTCTCTCAGAACAAGAACGTCCATTCCTTTGACTACGACTGGTACAATGTGTCAGACCAGGTCAGTGGGGACGCTGGGGGTGTGTTACCAGAAAAGGGACTATAGTTGTCCCTCAGTATCCTTCTGGCATTGGTTCCAGGACCCCTGGGGACACCAGAATCTGCAGATGCTCAAGCCCCTGATAGAAAATGGTGTAGTATTTGCATATAACCTATGCACATCCTCTCACATACTTTAAATCATCTCTAGGTTATTTACGATACCTAATACAACATGAGTGCTATGTAAATAGTTGTTATATGGCATTTTTTATTTGTATTATTTTTTATTGTATTGCTCTTTTTTAAGTGTTTTTTGAGTATTTTCAATCCACGGGTAGTTGAATCTGTGCTTGAGGAACCTGAGGATACGGAGGGCCACGTGTACTTGCTGTTCAACATTCCATGTGGCCGAGAGGGATAAGCTCCTTGTTTGTGCTTCTGAACAGCTAGGCGACCTTGAGAGTCACTGCCCTGCGTGGTATCTGCATCTTCATCTGTCAGATGGGATCATAGCATCTGCCTTGTTCCTCTTCACATGTCTTCTGATAAAACTGGAAGCTTATATGTGTGTGTACAGACACATTTACACATGTACACATACACGCTTCTTTCCACCTCTTGAGGTTCTTGACAAGCAGTACTTAAATTTTTTTTTAAAGTACTTGCATAAAATGTAAGATAGTATGATCAAAGAGTGAAATTTGCAAAGGTTAACCAAATTGTATTTAGGTTTCAAAAAATACATAGACCTATGAAGTTATCAGGTTTTTTTTTTAAATGGAGCATATACACAGCATTTGAGAAAATATAGACAAAAGTGCCTAAGGATATTACGGTTTTAGTAAAAGCTCATTGTACCAGTGGCCTCAATATGGTACTCTTTATTTCTTAAAAATACATTATATAAATTCATGAATTCTTGAATTGTAAAGCAAATAAACCAAGGTAGTGAAATGTCATGCTCACAAAAGCTTAAAGTAAAAATGAGAATTAAGCTAGCATTTGCTCATATGACAAATATTGGGTTTTTTGTCTCAGGCACTGTGTAAAGGGCTGGGGATACAAAAATGAACAGATTCGTTCCCTGCCCAGTGGGAGTTTACTGTCCGCTGCAGAAAAGAGACATGCAGATAAGCCATTGTAGTAAAGAAACATAACTTCCCTAATAGGATCAGATCCCCATTGAATTGACTTGCAAAGGTTCCTTATTTTTCTGGAAAAATATTAAATACCTAACTACAAATAAATCCGCTTGTAAAATCTCAACAGTGCTCAAAACTTGAGCTGATGAATTAAGACAGTGGCAGAAAGACTAAAATGACCATGATAAGCTAAACCTGTGAGGACAGGGTGACATTCATAAGAGGCACAGGTAAGGTGTTATGATAAGAAAGGATTAGAACAGCAATAATAACAACGGGAATCCCCAACCCAAACCAACACCCCACATACAGGATCGGGGGAAAGCTGGGGCAAGGCACTGCTAAGGGTGTGCCATGTTTTGAGAAAATCAAATACATAAAAATCTAAACTTTAAACAATGATCCATTAGAGACTTACTCATAATACACAAAGGATTTGGGTTTTTATTGTAGTAAAACATATATAACATTTACTGTTTTAACCATCTTTAGGTGTACAGTTCAATGGCATTAAATGCAGTCACATTGCTGTGCAACCATGACAACTATCTAGAACTTTTGCGTCTTCTGACACCGAAACACCCATTTGTTTAATGTGTTCATTAAACAACAAAGATTTGGTTTTAACAAAATAATTATTTCAATTTTTCTTTCAATTAAAAACTTACAATGGCTTTAAAATATCACAATTTTTCAATTCTTTTGTTTTTAGGAGATAGTTATTTATGGCTATCTAGACCTGTGTGTTGCCTTTAAAATGATTTAGGAGCAGCAAAACAAATGACTGCAGTCACACATGTGATTTGTGCACCATGGAAAAAGAACGTACTACTGAGACACACAGTGTAGATGGAATAGGAGATGCAAAGTTTGGCAGTAATCTTTCTGAAGAGTAGCATGAGTAGTTTTGGTTACTGTAAATATGTTCTAATAGAGAAGGCAAAAGAATTAGATTTAGGTAATTGGCCTTTATGGCTTGATTTTGGTGCATTATCTTTCTTTGAAATGCTGGCGTTTCTGATAGGGCTCTCCAGACTCCACTGTGCACTTCCCTTGCGTACCTTTTATGTTCCGAAGGGAGAAGGCGAACACTGCCTCACTAAGCCCGTTCGGCCATCTCCCTGGGCCAGAAGCCAAACGCTGGACTCTGGGGTTTTTTTTCTAGACAAGCTAGCCTGCAAATAGCTTTAAAGGGTAAAGAGCAGGATATGGTTTATGTGAAGAAAAGTTTGAAAACTGACATGTTTATCCTAGAGATGAGAGTAAGGGGCAAAAGTTACATGCTGCTCTCAAGAATTTAGAAGGTTAGCAATATGATGTTCTCACTGTTTGATTGTTGAAAATCAGCTTAGATTTAAGTGAGAGTTCATTTGGACATAAGGAACAGTTTTGAAGGATGAAGTTTTAAAACATCACAGATTGGGAGTTTCTGTCTTTGAATATTTTGAAGATAATCATTTATCCCTTATGGTTTAAATACTGTCGTCTCCCCCCCGCCCCCCCAGGTTTGGACCGTCACTGTTACCTGATTTCAATATGCACATTTCAGGGGAAAGGAATTATAGTATTGGGATTATTCTCTGTTCACACTAGGAAGACTATGAAATTTCTTTCTTCTGCCCTAGGCATAGTGACTCTCCCTTTCTCCCTCTCACAGGCAGATTTGAAGAATCAGCTGGGAGATGCCGGATATGTGCTATTTGGAGTGGTGCTTTTTGTTTGGGAACTCCTACCTACCACCTTAGTAGTGTACTTCTTCCGAGTTAGAAACCCTGCAAAGGACCTTGTAAGTAAACCATTTTATATTTTCAGAAAATATCTCCTAATTCTGATCATGAAACCTGCAATTAGAACTTTTTCTTAACTTTTCAACAGAGGAGAAAGCCTCTTCCATATATAAAAGTGATATAAAAAGATCCCTTGGCTATTTGATTGAGACTTCCCCGTAATTCTCTTTTGAGGGAGAATGTGTTTTTTCAGTTTAGCTTTATTTTGCAAAGAAATGAAGCTAAGTTGCATCTCAGGGCCTGGGGAACGTGATTAACTGCTTAATGCAACACAGCCTTGCTTATATATGATCCTTGGCTTGCTGTGAACCCAGTGTGTAAGCTTTTCTTTTAGCAAAGGAAAACAGAGGGTGGTAACTCAGTTCTTCACCTCTATGGTATGCCAGATGGTGATTAGGGAATGGAAGGATAGGGAAATAAAAACATTATTGTGAAGAATGCTGGAGCCACTCCCCTAGTTTGGTCACATTTCTGTTCAGCCAACCTTATATAAATGTCTTTATGGGGCCAGGACAGAAAACGCAAAACCGGGTAGAGGGAGAAAGCTCCTAGGAGCCTGCACCATAAATTAGTCCAGCCACACAAGCTAGCAGTAGATTTTTGATTCACTGATCTATGAAACCCAGAAAAAAGTATTGCAAGTCGATTTGAGGCAATGTGAGCAGAGTTAGGTGGTAAGGAAAGCACAGACAAGTGACTTCCACAAATAATTCACAGTTCTTATTTCATACCCAGATAATAACTGAATTGTGTTTTGCTTTTTCTTATTCCTCTCTGGATGGTCACTAATGAGCCAGGCGTGGAAAAAAGTGAAACAAGGCTGGGAGGAGGGGTGAAGCACAGTCTGACCAGTGGGCCCTTGAGTAGCAGTGGCTCAGGCTACAGCCTGGATGAAATCTAGCAAGTTCTCGAGACAGCAGGATCAGGTTGCTCTCTTTACAGTGGGTCTGCACTTTATCTGACCTTTGCTTGCGCTGGGACCCCCTGGAGGCTTCTGTAAAGTCAGGCCCTAAATACCTCCTCCTCATGGGCAAAGAAACTTTTGAAAGGTAGGCAGCAGATTCTAGGTTGACTCCAGTTGCCTTGTTGTTCTTCCTTCTCTGAAGATGACAGAAGTTATCTGGGAATGTTGTTTGAACAAGAGAAAGGTGAGGAGTCTCCTAAGCAAAACTCCCAGTGCTTGCGAGGCTTCACCTGGGCTCTCCACGTGCTTTTTGTTGTTGTTGTTATCACATCCTGGTTTTCATTATCTAGTGTTTCATTATTCCAGTGCTCTTAGGAACTACATGCCTAAACCAAGGCAGTCTGAAGGAGAGATTATATTAATATATCTGAATCCTGAGGGGTGAAACGCTAATGTGATATTGCTCAAAGTACTATTTTATTAAACAAATATAGAATAATATTGATAGTCTAATGTGTACTCTCCGATCTCATTATCCAGGGAAACATGTCATCCTTAATAACACTCCTTATGTATATAGGGTATTGTGTTCAAAAGCATCTACTGTTTAGGGTATTATTGAGAACAGTGGTTCTCAAAGTTTCTGGTCTTAGGACACTTCACACTCTTAAATTATTGAGGACCTACCCCAGAAAGCTTTTGTTTGGAGGATGTGTGGGTGTAGTATCACATTAGAAGTTAAAACAGAAATCTAAAAAATATTCATTAATTAAAAATAGTAAACTCACTGTATATTAGAATATAAATTTTTATGAAAAATAACTATATTTTCTAAACCAAACTAAATGAGAAGAGTAACATTGTTTTAAAATTTTGTAAGTCTTTTTAATGTTTGGCCTAAGAGAAAAGAGCTAGATTCTCACATCTGCTTCTGCATTCAATTTGTTGTGAATGTTGTTGTGGCTATTATAAATTATATCTCTGTGAGGCTTGATTTTCTTCATATAGTTGCAAAAAAGAGGAGTCTTTTAATAGCCTTTTAACATATTTGCAAATACTCTTCTTTGATACTATACTCAAACTCAACAAGTGTGGCTTAAAAGTTAGTTGCAATATGGAATCTAACACCATATCAATGAACTTTGCAGATTGTTTGCTATGTTAAAATCCATTGGTTTATTCTGTGCTTTGGATCTTTTACCCCTGCATTGTTTTGGAATATCACGCACTGGTCATTTGGAAAATACTGGTTTACTAAGTTATGTAGATATTCCAAATGTTAACAGTTTTCATTATATGAAACCAAAAAAAAAATCTCATTCATTAATATCACCACTGATCTCAGAAAAGTCTTTAAGTATTGGGACGCTATCAAGATAGGGAATACAAGTTTTCTAGATCTTTAATTTTTTCTCAAAGCTCAGATTTTATTGTGATGATAAATACTGCCAGTTGCTTTCCTTGAAATGACAGCTCACTTCATTCACTTTCAAGACAGTGTCTGCCAAATACCCAAGTCTGAATAACGTTGGTTTGTCTGAGTTGTTTGTCAACTAAAAATGAACTTGCATGAAAAAAGTAGCTAAAACTTGAACAGTTGTAGAAGCTGTTTTCCTCAAGACAACCATACAAGGCAAATTTGGCTTGAAGCACTGGTGTTCATAAAATATCCTTGGCCAAGACTACCAGAGTTAATGCCATGGTTACATACAGAATTTGGTAAACATGGTTAACAATTATATGGCACTTACATATGCTAGGCATTGTTCTAAATACTTTAAATAAATTCTTTAATCCACAAATTAACCTATACGGTAGAAACTGTTACTGTACTCTTTTCTTAGATGAGGAAATGGAGGCTCAAGGTCACATGGCTAAGTGGGAGACAAAGCCACGCTTCAAACTAAGCAGTCTGGCTCCAGAGTCCATGATTTTAATCACTGTGCCACACCGTGTCTTTCCCTGGCATCGTAAGGTTTTGACAGGAAATTAAATTTCTAATATGGATGATTTAATAAACCCATTACTAGCTATATAACTTCTGTAATTGCTTGGAGAAAAAACAGTCTAATATTCATTTGGGGGAAATATATAATTTATACTTATCTACTTCAAAAGAGCACACTGCAGGTGTTAAACATTTCTTTAAATGTTATCTACCGTTTGTATCCAGAATTCATTTGGTACAGTAAGTCTCTCAACGTGGGCTCATTAGAGCCAAACTTCAGAGCCTGTGTAACAGTCTGCTTAGAGTTCCCCAGTGCTTGGTGTGACTATAGATTCTTAGGTCACGATCGAGACCCAGATCAGAATCTCTGGCGCAGGTTCTGGGAGCCCACGTTTTTACTAAGCACTCTAAGTAAGTTGTATGTGCTGTAAAGTTTGAGGATCTCTGTTCATATTGTATTCTTTTTCTTAAACAACTTCACTGAGATATAATTCATAATACCGTATAATTCACCCAGTTCATATGTGTAATTCAGTGGTTTTTGGTATATTCAGGTATGTGCAGCCGTCACCACAGCCACTTTTAGAACATTTTCATCATCACAGAAAGAAACCCCATTCCCTTTCTGCCCCAGCCTCATCCTTGGGCCTAGATTTCTCTATTCTAGAATAGAATGAGACAGTATGTGGTTTTGTGATTGGCTTCTTTCACTTAGCATGTTTTCAGGGTTCATCCATGTTGTAACATGTGCTAGTACTTCATACCTTTTTATGGCCAAATAATATCCACATTTTGCTTATTCATTCATCCATTGATGGACATCACTGGGTTTTTTTTAAAATTTTAGGTTTTTCTTAAATGTGTCCTTTTTATCATCTCAAGTTTCTTGATGACCCACATCGAGTGGACCTTTGGGTTATTTCCACCTTTTAGTTATTATGAATAAGGCTACTATGAACATTTGTGTGCAAGTTGCTGTGTGAACATATGCTTTCATTTGTCTTGGGTGTACACCTAGCAGTGGAATTGCTAGGTCATATGGTAATTCTATGTTTAACTTTTTAAAAACCTGCCAGACTGTATTCCAGAGGCTGCACCACTTTGTATTCCCACCAACAGCACGTGAAGGTTCTGATTCTTCCACGTCCTCCCCAGCACTTGTTATCATCTCCCTTTTTGACTCTAGATATCCTAATGGCTATTAAATGATAGCTCATTTTGGCTTCTGATTGGCATTTCTCTGATGACTAAGGATGCTGGTTATCTTTTTGTGTGCTTATTGGCCATTTGTACATATTTGGAGAAATGTCTATTCACATCCTTTGCCCATTTTTAAATTGGGTTATCTTTTTATTATTAAGTTGCAGGAATTCTTTATATATTGATATTTTAGATATACTGTAAGTCCTTTGTCAGGTAAATCTTTTTTCTCATTCTGTAGGCTGTCTTTCCACTTTCTTGATGGTATCCTTTGAGGCACAAAAGTTTTTAATTTTGATGAAGTTCATCTTATCTTTTGTTGCTCATGCTTTTGGTATCACATCTAAGAATCCTTTGCCAAATCCTACACAGATGGTCCCCAACTTCCAATGGTTTGACTTAGGATTTTTCAACTTTACAATGGTGTGAAAGCAATACAGTAGAAACTGTACATCAAATTTTGAATTTTTATCTTTCCCTAAGCTAGTGATACAGGGTGTGATACTCTCTGGAGATGCGTGGGCAGTGAGCCACAGCTCCCAGTCAGCCATGAAATCACAGGGGTAAACAACTGATACTCTAAAGCTGAAGTGGCAGTCCCCAACCTTTTTGGCACCAGGGACTGGTTTCATGGAAGACAGTTTTTCCATGGATGGGGGTGGGGAGGGGAGGCAGAGCTCAGGCTTGCTGATGTAAATACACTCTCCTGCCCGCCACTCACCTCCTGCTCTGTGCACCCCCGCATTCCTAACTTTCATGGAAGACAATTTTTCCACAGACTAGGACGTGGGGGGGGTATGCAGAGCTCTTTGAACAGGTCCCTAACAGGCCATGGAACCGGTATCAGTCCACTGCTGGGGGATGGAGAGGTTGGGGACTGCAGCTCTAAAGTATGCATTTTCAACTTACAATGCCGTTACATCCTGATAAACTCATTGTAAGTCAAGGAGCATCTGTATTTACCCCTGAAAACTTGCCCCTATATTTTCTTCTAAGAATGTTATAGTTTTTGCTCTTACATTTAGGTTTTTGATCCATTTTGAGTTATTTTTTGTATGTGGCGTGAGATAAAGGTCCAACTTCATTCTTTTGCGTGTGGCTCATAGACATTCTTGAACTGTTAAAAATAGTAAATTTTAAGACATCGCAACTTGTATAAGCTCCACTTTGCTCCTTATGGCTACATTAGTCTTAAAAAAGCAGGAATTCACTAGTATATATCCATCATGTGACCACTTAGTTTCATACTCTATTGATTAACTTTTAAGTAGTCTACTAACGGTATGTACAAGGATTTCAAACCATATGCCAAATTTGGTCTGCCATATAATCTAGTCCTGATTGTCTCTTTATCTGAAATCTTTCCTGACAAAGAGGACTTTACTTTTTTAGGAGTTGCTCGTAGAGAAGGCTTTTCAAACCACAACAGTTGCCCTAGGGCAAATATGATCTTAAAAATTGGCAGTAACCTCTAGGATCTACTTGAGGCCAGTCATTTCAAATTTTTTGAGGTGAACTCAGCTTTGGGACAGAAACAGGATGAAATGATTCATAGAGGCAGGATATGGAAATTGGATTAGAAACCTTCCCAAAATGATTTCTTCTTTAATATTTCTTATTTTGTTAGGAATAGCTCACATGATTATACAGATTTATATCTAAATTGGTCTGTCTACTTTAGTCTGGCTAATTTGGGCATTATCTAGTTTTCAATAAGGGATTGAAATAATGAGGATTCACTGTTGCATGCAAAACTCTGATATTGTCCGTACTGATAAAAGGAAAGGTTAATCCCTGTTAAACGTAAAAACAACTGAAATGAACACTCCAGCTGAACAGGTGCAGCCTCTGTTCAGATGAGTAGAACAACTCCAGTCTCCTGCAAGAAAGCATTTTTTTGTTTTGTTTTGTTTTTTAAACAGACGGGACTTCGTTCTGTTTACCAGGCTGGAGTGCAGTAGTGTGATCATAGCTCACTGCAGCAGTGAATTCCTGGGGTCAAGTGATCCTCCTGCCTCAGCCTCCCAAACAGCTGGGACTAGAGGTGTGTGCCACATCTGGCTTTTTTTTTCTTATTAATACTTTCTGAAGAGATGGGATCTCACTGTGTTACCTAGGCTGGTCTCAAACTCCTGGCCTCAAACAAGCAATCCTCCCACCTCTGCCTTCTGAGTCGCTGGGATTACAGGCATGAGCCACCACATCTGGCAGGAAAGAGATCTTGCTTATCTATGTTTAGTGCAAGGCAGTGTCTGGAAGTATGCTGAATGATTACTTCTCTTTCTAGACCAACCCTGGAATAGTTCCCAGCCATGGATTCAGTCCCAGATCTTATTTCTTTGACAACCCTCGAAGATATGACAGTGATGATGATCTTGCCTGGAATATTGCCCCTCAGGGACTTCAGGGAAGGTAAGACCCTAGTTCATGTCAGAGAGGCCTCATTAGGTGGGAAAGGCTGCACCAATGAAATGGATTCAAACTAAAAGAAAATGCCTACATAAAAACTGTGCAGTTGGAAGTAGTGTAGGACTGGGTAGCAGTAGTAGTAGATCATTTTACTTATATGAAACATTCAGGATTGAGAAGGGACTAACATCAAAACTTTAAAAGCCTCATAGCATTATCATATACAGTAGCATTTCCTAAACAATATTTCATGGAACACAATTCCCTTAATAGCTATGCTGTGTAAATGAAAATGATGGTTTAAAAAGAAAATCGACTTTTTAAAAAATTGCAGGATTTCTCAGAGCCTATAATCTGCTGATATGCAGTCTGAAGCTCCAAGAGGGAAATATAGCCCTTGACCATGGAATCACTCAGTGGAACATGATTTGGGATATCCAGGCAGATTTCTTTAATCACATGTTCTAAAGCCAGAAAGTAAATTGAATAATATTCATTTTATTAGAATAAATTATACCTTATAAGGGCCAAATTTTCTAATTTGAATGATGTAAATTCTTAATTGAAAATTTCATTTAAATCAAGGGTATTTATTTTGGTCTTAATTTAGACAAATATTTATTTAATAAACACATAGAACAGTATCTGATACATAGTCGAGACTAAGAGATTCACAAGTGTCAACTCATTTAGTCTTCACAACAATTCTGTGAGGTCAGTACTTTTACTAGCTTCATATTACAGATGAAACGGGCATCTGAAGGTTAGGTGACTTGTCCAAGGTCACACAGCTAGTAAGTGGTTAGGCTGGGATTCCAACTCAGGCAATCTTGTTCAAATCTGTGCTCTATGTGAAGAGTTTGTATATATCTCAGTACCCTGTCTCCTGGTTTCACCTATGCTTATGTTATACTATCTTGTGAGTTTTAATAGGAAGAGTCTCCTTTCTTGAATATCCACTTGTAGATATGGCTTAGAATATTTTGGATAGGGCAATTAAATAAGAATTCAAACCAGCATATGTAGAGGGGTTAAGACAATAAATGAGCTGGTATCACCTAATTTTCAGCGAGTTGGGAAGGCAACTAGAAAGAGGAGGGAGGCACCGAGTACCTGAGACTAGCTGCAGCCACAGCAGACACCTACCCCAGAACTCCGAGGTTTGCTTACCTTGCCCACGGCAGTCTGCATACAAGAGGGGCAGTAACTATGGCGAGTCCCTTCCCCTTTGCTTAGCCTGCTGTGCTTCGGCCACACCCCACTGCCCGATGACCATCATGGTCCCCACTTCAATCTATGAATCTGGGACTGTAAGGCCAGCAAGGTCACAGGGGTTACAGGAGCCAAAAGGGCTGAGCTGGTGCTTGCCAAACCCCTCTCCATCCCAAGATCCCTGTACTGTTCCTGGGAAAGGGGAGCTTCTTAGAATTGAAAACTTACCTTATGCAATCCTTGGTGAATTAAAGACTCATCATTAACATTTTTCCCCTCTGGGGTGAAATGATAACTTGCTTACTCCTTATTACTAACTGTAGAAGTCCTTAGAAAACCTTAAAAGGGCTCTGAAAAGAGCCCTCTGCTTTAGCGACAGGAGAAGTGAAGAAACGCTGTGAGAATACATTGTTTTCTCAGTGGATCAGGGAGGAGAGAAATCCTGGTTGGAGAAAATAGAAGATGGTGGCTGAGAAAACAGCAGACCAATCCCTAGGGCTTGCAGATGTAAAGAACATAATCTGGAAGTGAGCCAAGATACAAGAAGGACTTCCTGAGGCCCAAAGTTGTCCTTCAGGCCACTCAGATTCTGAGCTTCACCTCTTCCCTAAAACTCTTCTCTTACCCAGTTTACCCCATTGTATTTCCTGTTAATTATTTTTGCCCCTTTAAATCCACACTCTGCCAGAGTAAACCTAACCCCTCACCTGCCAGAAATGACTTAGAGCTGAGGGAGTCCTGACTACCTACATGGGGGAAGAAAAGAACCCCCTTTCCACTACATAGGAAAAATAATAATAATAATGAAAACAACTTACATGTATTGAGTACTGACTATATATTGTTAATAGATATTGTTCTAAGCCCTTTATAGGTACTAACTGACTTAGTAACTACGTTGTTGGGCTATTGTAGGGGCTATTACTTCCATTCTACAGATGAGGAATTTGAGGCACAGAAGTTACTTGTCCAAAGACACATAGGTTATGAGCTATACTCCGTGTTAAGATTCAGATACAATTTGTTGTATAAAAAAAAAAAAACCTCTTATACAGAGTGACTAGTTTAAAGCCCAGAAGTATAGGATTACTAGAACCTTAAAGACTTTCAGTAGAGTTTAGTGGGTGGGTTTCTATCACTGGGCATAGCATTGTTTTGTGGGAAAATGGGCTTCAAGAAGCTACTTTAAAGAATTTTGAAATTGTCTATAGTTTACACAAAATCCCAACTCTATCTACCTAATGTTTCAAGTTACTGAAATTTTTTTTCTTTTTAAGTTTTGCTCCAGACTACTATGATTGGGGACAACAAACTAACAGCTTCCTGGCACAAGCAGGAACTTTGCAACAAGACTCAACTTTGGATCCTGACAAACCAAGCCATGGGTAGCATCAGTTAACAGTTATGGATGATTCCTCAGTTGAAAAGCTTCAGAAAGACAACTTACTGACAGCTGAATTTTTAGGGCACTTTTCCTTAAGAAATAGGACTTGATTTTTATTTGTTACAGGTTTCTAATGGCTCTATAGGACTAAGCAATAATTTAGATTTGATAAACTCTTATTTTAGTACTAAAAAGTGAGCCTGGGTATTTCAGTGGGTATAATTTAAACTTTTTAAAGAAAATCCATACTTTTATAAAGATATATTTTATATAACTTAAGTAATAATGCTAAAGTATACTAGGGTTTTTTCTTGAGAATGTTATTGCAATATATGTTGCAGTTTGCACAGAATTTATGCATAATTCACTTTACAAGTATCGAATATATGGTCTAATAGTTTTTTAAGGCTTTTGGACTAAAGTATTCCTCAAATCCTTACCTCTTCAGGTCACTCAGATCCTGAGCTCCACATTGGTAGACTCCTAACATCTAGAAAGCTAATTGCAATTCCAATGTTGAAATTTAAAATTAAAAGGAATATCAACAGACTGTGAGGTAACTGGCTCTTTAGAGGAGTTTTTTTAAGGTCTAGATGGTTGGTGCCTCAAAGAATCTCTTAAATTGTGCCAAAAGTCTGAAGTCTGGTATTTCTTTCAGTAGGGCACTAATGTATACAATTCAATGATAAAAGTTAATGATGTTAAAAATGTAGGTGACTTGTACTATTAAACCTCCTCTGCAATATTCAGAGATTTTGCATAGTTTTTTTAGCCCAGTGAAATCTAATATCCATTACCTCAGGAGGACAGCAAAACTATACCTTTCCCAACTCGATGAACATTATTATAGTCAAGGAGAAAATAAGAGGTTCCAAAATGGGCATTAATAAATATCCCTGGCCAGGCGCGGTGGCTCACGCTTGCAATCCTAGCACCCTGGGAGGCCGAGGCGGGAGGATTGCTTGAGCTCAGGAGTTCGAGACCAGCCTGAGCACGAGTGCAACCCCGTCTCTACTAAAAATAGAAAGAAATTAGCCAAACTAAAAATAGAAAAAATTAGCCGGGCATGATGGTGCGTGCCTGTAGTCCCAGCTACCTGGGAGGCTGCGGCAGGAGGATTGCTTGAGCCCAGGATTGTGAGGTTGCTGTGAGCTAGGCTGATGCCATGGCACTCTAGCCTAGGCAAGAGAGAGACTCTGTCGCAAATAAAAAAATAAAAAACTTAATAAATATCCTAAACCCTTGAGCTAAGACTATGTAGAATCCTAATAATTTTTTCTGTACTCTCCAACCATATTTAAAATAATGTCCTTTATTTTTAAATAGCTCTATAAACAGTCTTTTGGAAGCTGCACATTTAAAATGGCGGTAGCATTGCAATGTGACACACCTCTTAGCCATGTAAAGTGCATGTTCCACACAATTGCTTATAAGTGATAAGTTTCATGTTATGAAATACTACTTCCCCAACCAGAAGTGCCATTCTAAAACCTCCACTGTATACATTCTGGAGCCATAAAACTGCCTGTCAGGTGGTTAAATGCTCTGATTTTCTATAAAACAGAGATAAGGTTCTAGAGGAAGTACTGTTACCAGAGAGAAAGTATCTTTCTGCTCTGCCTAGGAAATCTCACCTCAAGACAGAGGGAAGGGCAAATGAAAAGGAACTTACATTAATAAGTCCTGCCTACATGATACAACTCATTTCAGATGACTCTTACCATTTTGGTTTTCAGGAATAATTGATCTCTGGGCATTGATTTCACAGAGATCAGGTCTACTTCTATTTTGGTGGTATTTAAAATTGGGATTTCAGGTTTCAAATGGGTCATGATTGGGTTTTTTTCATTTTTATAGAATACCTTTAGCCTGCATAATCCCACATAACAACATTCTTGCCTTTCAGTGCACGGGTAAATTTGCATCACATACCATATAAAATAGTTACTTGTCAGGGAAAATTCTACACTGAAGCAAACCCTACACTGTTATTCAGATTGCCTTAGTATCATAAGTTGTTATGCTAAATAACTTTAAGAAACCCTATTGGGGTCACACTGTCTTTATTACTAATTCTTAGAAGAATTTAAAGGCAGATTCAGCATATGCTTAAAACTCCTTCAATATTAGATCAGTTAAGGGCAGATATATTTTAAAAAATACAATGATAAGAATCACTAAAATCATTATAATCATAATATGTAAACATTATAATTCTGTTACTGGCAGAAAAATTGAAATACTCAGCATTAACTGATAAAAGTCATAGTCTACTTTCTGATACAGTTACTAATATTTATTTAAACTATTTTTTTGTTGGAAAGGATAAAAATGTTCCAAGTACCTATTTTTTCTTCCCCCTTTTAAACAAAGTAATGCTAAAACCTTTGGAATGTTGTAAACACAGAATATTAAAAACTATGAGCAATTGTATCAAACTTCCTCTCATAGTAAATGATCATGTATACCCTGTGAACTATTGGAGGAATGGTAAGGGAAGGAAAATTAAAATTCCCTTTACCTTCCTAATTTACTTGTTCTACTAGGTACACTAAAAAAAAATTCTTATGTGGAATATTAACGCAAAGAGAGGAAAAGGAATGTTGATTACTGGTTCTGAAATACCCAAATGTCCTCTTGTTTTAAAGCAACACAATTACATTAAAACTTTGATAATTTGAAAGTTAAAGAGTATATAGGGAAAAGGCACCATCACGGATAAATGATACAAAATTTTCAAAGTCTGATGCAACACTAAAAGGCTGCATGTGAATGTTTGTAACTTCTGAAAATAATTTTTGTGCCCACCTCTGCAGCTAAGAATTCCAACTGATTTGTATAGATATCTTTCATTGGCTCTTTTTCCATTTTACAATTAACCTGTTTAATTGAGCTGATGATTAATACATCTGGAGGGTGTTACATACAAGAGTTGTGGGCTGTCAGAAGTCTTGACTATTACAATATACACTTCAATCACATTTAGTTATGCCAATTCTCTCTTGAATGTATCAGGAACATTCTTAATAGCTGTGCTGATTACCACGTTTAGCTGCTTATACAGGACTACTCCCCAGATTTTCTCTTTCACCAAAACCCAAGACAACTGCTCTTTGTTGGCTTTAGTGTTGGGCCAACACTTAGTTGAGCAGCTAACACTCCCCGCTTTAAGATGAAAGGAATACAATTAGTAAACCCTAGAGCTTGAGAAGCACTGTGAGAAAAAGGTTCTCATTTATATTTATATAGTGGATATTACTAGAATATTGCTTTTATTTTTTAACAGTATACATGAATTTACATTAGAATTGTGTGTCTAAGTATTTGAAACTTTATCAAGATTTCCAACTAAACAAACTTTATTTAAAAAGTACCCTTTCATTTTAGATTGCTGCACGATAAAGAATAGACTGGTATGGGTCTGATCAGAGACACACCTAGTATTGATTCTCATTTTTTGTCTGTGAGAATTTTATTAAAAAACATTTCTAACTGTGCATAATGCTACTTAAGACTTCCAGATGGAGGAGCTGTTGGAAAGGATCAGGCTAAAATAGAATTCTTCTCATCAAGGGCTATTAAGTTTAAAAACTTACTCTCTTGAGCTAGATCTGTGACTTTTGTCTCTTTAACCTATAAGATTCCCAGAATGCCTCCCTTTTTCTACTGATTCCTGTTGCTATGATTTTTTTCCAAGAATCTCACTAACCTATGACAGTCCCTCTGGCCTCTCTGCAGTCCCAAGTGATGGTGTTCCTTGAAAGCATTAATTGAAGTATTTTTATGCTTCAATTACCTTTTTACCCTATATCTACCTTATACCCTATACCTACTTTATACCATATACCTTTCTTAGGGTGCATTTAGGATAAACAAATAATGCTTTACCAGGACCATTAAATTTGTGTAACTGAGTATCTTTACTGTGCTATCCCCTTGGTGAATTCACTAGCCCAAAGTCTGGGCTTCATATTTGCAGATTTAAAACTTGTCAAAGGGAGAACACTTACCCATTTGGAGGTAGATTCTGTGAAGGAAAGCCACAGGAAAAGTTAAATGATACCAGAATGTTGCTTGGTGAATGTGACTCTGCTTTGACCAACAAGTTGGAAGGGGAGTGACTTTAAATGATTTAATAGTATCAGTTTATGATAATTTGATGGCACTGACAAGAAGAGTCATTCATGTTGAAGCCATTCATTCACCTTCTCCACAGGTGTCTATCTTGGCCATTCCTTTTAGGTTGACATTTCTTTGGGTCCAGTCTCACTGTAAACCAATATAATCTAGTTATGTGTAAGTTGCATGATGGCAGGAATGTTTGTTTTGTTCACTGCTATACTCCCAGCTTCTAGAACAGTGAATGAATAGTCAAGTCCTGCTCTTTTGGTAGATAGTCTTTTTTTTTTTTTTTTTTTAAAGGTAACTTCTTACACTTGCACTTTTATTCACTGTATGTTGATTTTACATTTAAGGGCCCTTCCCTCTTATCATACAAATGTTTGACAGATATCTAACTTTTAGACAAACAATTCATAATGGAATAAAAAAGGAAATAGGATTTTATATGAAAACAGTCTTTAAATCATTTCTGGAGACTAAGCCTTAAAGCAGAAGCACGGAGATGAAATTCTGTCGACATAGGCACTGTGTGCTGCCTCTACTTGCCTTACCTGTTTGGGCACTGGCAAATAGAATACTGACGTAATTAAAAAGTAGTAAAAAGTATATCTTTATCAGGTAAAGTATCAAAAGAAGAATGACACAGTAAGTGGTTAAAAGTACAAATCTTGAGAGAGAATCTGAGCTGGATGGAGTTTTAGCATGTTTCACATGTTAAGGATTTTTAAAGCTCTTATGGGAAAATAAATAAGAACAGCTAGGAAACCTGTAACAAGGAAAGTGGGAATGAGAGAGGACCAGTGCACCAGATATTAAAAATAAAGCCTAGTAAAAACAATGTGGTACTGGTACATGACTAAATACAATGAAATGGAAGCAGAACCCAGATATAGAGCTAAATACATACGAGATTTTAGAAATGATTAATGTAGCCTCTCAAACTAGTGAGGAAAAAATGAACTGTTCAATAAATGGTATTAGAACAACTGGGTTAATCATCTGGGAAAAAGGTTAGGTTGGATCCATAACTTATGTCTTATGCCAGGATACTCCAAGGGTTCAATATTTAGATGTAAAATTATAAAACCAAAAATATTCTGTAAGAAAATATAGGTAAATTATTCTGTTGCTCTGGAGTGAGGAAGTCATTCTTGACTATGACTCAAAATCCAGAAACCACTAAAAAATTGATAAATCACACTACATAAAAATTTTTTAAAACTCACATGGCAAAACAATCATTAGCAAAGCCAAAGACAGATGACAAATTGGAAGAAA